GTGTAATTCCAGAAGCCCTTCTCTTTCCACAGGAACACACTGGCCTGTAAGTAGGTGTGTCTCCCTACTGTCCCTCTGATCATTTTGCCTGGAGCCCACACATGTTCATGCTGTTCCTTTATCTGGAAAGACCTTCCAGCTCCTGCCTCTGGTATTTTACATCTGTCTACTCATATTTCTGGACCCAGCTCAAACCCTGCTTTTTCTTAAAAAAAACCCACCCAAATGACATCAGTCCATGTTTTACTCCCTTCTAATTCTGGCAGATAGTAAATCTTGGAGGTTAGAGCTCAAGCACTGGAACCAGACTGGCCGTTTTGAATGCTAGTTCAGTCCCTTAGAGTCTGGTAATGGTATTAACCGTCTGTGTCTCCATTTTGTCTTCTGTAAATGGAGATGATTATTGCTCCTACCCTCTAGAACTTGTGTCAAGATAAATGAGTTAATAGACATAGAGTGATTAGTATAGAAGCTGGTAGATAGTAGGTTCTTAATAAATGTTATCATTACTCAGTTGCACCACAATGAGATTTTCTATCCCTTATTTTCTCAATATGTATGTGTCTTACTTCTCTGACGAGAATGTAAGCTCTTCCTGGGTAGGACTGGACCACATTTCTATGTGTAGCTGTATCCCAGAGTTACATAGAACCAGGCATGCCATATGCATTTAACAAGTCAGAGTTAAGCATTTCAAAACTGGCCAATGCCAGATGAAGAACTTTTTTTAGCCAAGGAACAGCCAGTGAGGACCTGCTAGCCTTCATACTTCTGAAGGTAAATACTGGTGACCTTCGGCGATCATTTTGTTTTGGGAAACTCACCAGGATGGTTTTGAAGCTACCCACATAGAAGAGCTCTTGGGGAGATCTGTGGTGCAGATCCTGCTGTGCCCTGTTCAGGGACTAAGCAGATACATATTTCATAGATTATGTACTGAGACTGGGAGATGCAAAAATTTACATCTCTTTATTTTTCCCAAGCTGATGTTATTTTAGCCCTTGAACCTTTATTTCTACTTCATTGACTCTTGTCTCTTCGAAGTTAAAGCTGTCATTCTAACTGTGATTCTCTCCCCCTCACTTCACTTTCTCTCCTTCATGACCAGGGTAGTGTAAGTTCCTAAGCCCAACTGGGGCAAGGATGGAGTGAGAAATAGGACAATAAATTCTGGAGATTTTTGCCACCTGCAGGCTTTAATGAGCCTATGAACATGGCTCTAAGAAGTCAGTGTTTTATATGGGCCCCTGCAGAAAATAGGACATTTTAAATTCACTCAATACAGCCAATTTCTTTGCCCATGGTTTTCTTTTTAACCACACCCAATTTGATCCATTCTGCAAACACCTGCCCCCCCCCCGCCCCCAATAAGCACTTTGCTGTAAGGAAGTGACCGTTACAGCAAAGGCACAGACCTCCAGCCTGGCTGACTTTTGCCACTAGTCATAATGGAAACACTTTTTTCTCTTGTACATAAAAGCACAAAACAGCAAACACAGAAAAAGTCACAAAGAGAACTCTCACAGGAAAAAGCATTAAGAACATCTAAAGAAAATCACTTATCTTACTGTATTTATTATTTTTTCCAAGAAGTAACAGTATGAGATCCCTTAGATATCTGCCTGTAGGGAAAACATTTCTGTTCCACTGACAATGCCCTTATTGATTTTGATGGCACCCAAATACTGCCCCCCCCCCAGAATTTCACCTGATAAATGCTGGTCCTCAGAACATGGTTCTGCACTCTTAGTCCCATATTTGTTGGTCTGGTTCAAGGAAGATTGGTGGGTAAAAAGGAAATATGGACAGAAATGACAGCTCCCTGAGAAGCAGCATATTTTTTCTAGAAATTGACTTGAATAGGTTTCATCTGAGGGCTAAATCATCCTCAAACTCTCCTGCTCTATTGATGGCTCAGAGAAAGTTCTAAAAGAGCCAGGACACTCACTGGTTACTCAGAATTCTTGGAGTTATAACCTTGTCTGACTGATTGCCTGATTTCACTCCAAAATCTCTCAGTGTGTTATACTACATGTGCTTATGTTGGTGCAAATAGAAATATATAAATCAGTGTACAATCAGCCAGGTCTGAGGATTTTACAGCATCCTTTGAAATACTGGTAGCAGACTAAGATTGTAAAATCATATTATTGGTAGGTACTGGTGTCATCAGGGTCATGCTAAATGTGAATTTGGAGAAATTTCTTTTAGGAACCACACACCCACTTTGGTTTTCCTTCCAAGACTGATTCTTCCAGGTTTCTTGGGACATGTCTGAAGACCAGATCTACTACCACCAGCCACAAGCTCAAGTGGCCCATCTGTTTGGCCTATTGCAAACTGAGCTTAGCTGTCCAATGGGGCTTAGGACAAAGACAGATGTTAAGCACTCCATGTTGGTATTACTTATGAAAAATATGTATGTTAAGAAATATTAAATAATGTATTTCACTAAATAATTATTCAGTGATAACAATACAGAACCAAAGAAAATAAAACTTAGAGTAAAATCTTTCTGATGTACCAACTTTATCTTGATGTCTCTTTCTCACAATCTCCATGTAATTATTTTAAAAGTAAATTCCATTTCCAATAATAAATTAATGTCATCTTTCCTCTACCCCGCTGAAAGTTATAAAATCAGACTGACCTGCTAGTCAGTTTTCAGGGTTTCTAAATAACCCACCTGTTCCTTCTAGAATAGTATGAGTACTTCCTCCTGCAGTAAATTTTTTTCAGCAAAATCATACTTTCAAGATTCTTCTTGTCAAAGCAGAGCTTTCCCTTTGAACTTCCTTTCCAGGAATTCTACCCAGGGATGAACTGGCACCAGTGTCTACTTTAAGCCAAGAGAAAACTATCCTTAACTTTTATAAACCAGAGGCTTATTTTCACAGAATAAGCATCATTTGATATGGAGTCAGAATACATTATGGGGAAAGAACTTTAAAGAGGTTACACTAATCTATTCACTAAAGTTTTGGAGCAGGGGGCTGGCAGCGGGGGTGGGTCCTTTCTTCAAAGGACCTAATTCAGGGAGTCGATGAAATATGGGTAGCCAGAAGCTATAGTCCTGCGCTCATGGGAAGTGAAGGAGGAGAGCTGGGTGTCCTTTCTCATCTCACCGGGTGCGGTGGGATACGGTCTGTCCTAGAACCCTGGCCTAAGCAGTTTAGCTCCCTGCAAGAGGTCACCACACTGTGATGAGAAGGAGAGTGATGAACCACTCCAAAGGCTCAGAGACTACACTTAAATCAAAGACAGGTATTCCCCAAATGGCACCAGGGCCCAGAGATTCCAGGTTAGCTTCAACCTGCTTGAACAGGAGCATGTTTGTATGAATGACAAGAATGATGTCATGTCACTCCCTGGTGTTCAACTCTCCAATGGCTCCCTTTGTTCTCATGATAAATCACCAGGAAGTTCCAGATCCTACTGAACCTGCAGGTTTAGCCTTGACATAGCTCACAGGCTCCCTCTCAAGGGGCCTCCTTCTCCATCTTTGTGCTGCAGCCACGGTCACCTTTCTGGTGCTCCCACTCAGTTCCTGCCCCTCTCAGGACCTCCTCTGCCTAAAATGCCTATCCCCCACCCAGCCCCTCACCAACTCCAAAATCATTTGTGTCATCTTTTCCTGGAAGCCCACCTGATCTTCCATCACCCTACACTTTCTCTTTAGGCACTTGATACGATTGCTATTAAATCATAATTTGTCTAATGGCTAAGTCTCCTGCATTAGACTGGAAGATGGATGAATGAAGGAACCAGATCTGTCCTGAATTCTCAGCACCTAAGACAGTGCCTGAGTCACAGGGGGCGCTTTGCTGAGTGAATACCTGAGAATGAATGAAGTTGTGCAGGAGAACATGGAGACACTTCAGTTAGTAACATGATGCATTTCTAGCATTCTGTAAAACCCCTGGATTAATGTTTCCTAAATACCCATTGTAATTATAGAGAGAGATTTTATAAATTATAAACAAAATAGATCTCTTATAGAATAATTTTAGTCTATCTTCAAAGCCAAAATGTAGCACTTCTATTAACAATTGTGGGAGGCAAAGAGAAAAATATGTAGAAGGATTAAAATACTGTCCCACAATTCACGTGCTATGCCTTTCCACCATTTAATTTAGTGGATTAAGTCAATTTTAACTTAGTGGATTTTTAAAATTTAGAATTCCATGTGTGCTATTTCCTGTTTTGTTAGTGTAGGCAGCCCTCCTGGCTGAAACTGAGCAGAAAAAAGCATTTGGGCCAGAATTCATCATGACCAAGGGACAGGGCTAGGACAGGTGTCAGAGTGATCAAAGATAATTACCAAGTAGATATGATTGATCCTGATTTTTTTCCCAAAGTGTAGTTGAGTTCCATCGAGAGCAGCACTTCTCAAACTTTCATGTGCATTTGAAAGGGAATCTAGTAAAACTGCAGATTCTGATTCAGTAAATGTGGAGTGAGGCCCAAGATTCTGCATTTCTAACAAGCTCCCAGGTAGCCTATCTGGTTAGTTCAAGGATCACGGTTGAAGCAGCAAGCAAGGGCCTAGAACAGATAGGACTGGTCACAGGTTGGCACAGGTCAGACGGCACAATCACACCCTGAAGCAAAGGATTCTCCTCACTGAGACGTAGTGTCAGAAAGTGCCAAATGTAACATATTTTAGAGGCCGGTTAGGCCATTTGGAAGGGTGAACGGCAAAGACCATCTGTCACCAGCAGAGGGAAGCAGAGGGCAGGGTAAGGTGCACAGGACTCCCCCAACAAGCCAAACACCTCGAGGGCAATTCCAGTAACGCTCCAACAGAACCTAGGTGAGCCAGCAGCGGGAGATGCAGGACACCGCGCGTCAGCAGTGTGGAGCGAGGTTCACACGGATCAGAATAAATTCACAGAACGGAGCACTTTGTAACAGTGGAAGGAACACCCATCACTGAGTCAGGAGACCCAGGATTCAATTCATGCAGAAGCTGAACCCCTTTGGGCCAGTCATTCACTCACCATCAGCTGGATTCCTTCGTCAGGAAAACAGAAAGAAGTGTGAAGCATGGTCTCTAATGGGCATTTCCAACCCTCACATTCTGTGATGAGTGCTTCTTATTCAGACTTTGAGGAAACTGGAGGGGTCCCTATCCTAGAAGCAAAGGATGGGGGAGTCAGAGTGAGGACAAAGCCCATGAAGAAATGGCTGGTCACCAGGAGACAAGGCCCAAAGGGCACGTGGATGGGCAGTGATTGGTTTGGTCTAAAGGCCAAGGCTCTGTTGATGCTATGGGTTCTTTGTCAGTTTTTGTTTATTTTTCGTTTGTTATCAAAGATTATATGTAAATTGGTTTTAAAAAGCCAAAGAGGGGGGCACCTGGGTGGCTCAGTCAGTTAAGCCTCCAACTCTTGGTTTCCACTCAGGTCATGATCTCATGGGTGGTGAGACCGAGCCCCACATGGGCTTGGTGCTGAGCACAAGTCGGCTTGAGATTCCTTCCCTCTCCCTTTGCCCTCCCCCTGCTCACGCTCGCTTGCTCGCTTGTGCGCGCGCTCTCTCTCTCAAATAAATAAAATCTTTTTTAAAAAAGCCAAATAGGACAAAAAGTCTTATAACCAAGAGTCTCTTGTCCACCTATCCTCCTCATCCTTTTCCCCAGAAGCAATGTCTTCTAATTATTTTACTGTTTCTTCTCCATATTCACCTCCCTATTTCCAAATAATATGTACAATATAATCTCATTACTTGACTCAGTAGCCTTTGACTTTTTACTATGGTGGATTAGGATATGAATTCAATCATACCATCTCTTCCCTTTCACTATTCTCCAAATATAGCATATCCTACTTTTTAGATTATATCTCTAATCACTGTTCCCATTATGACTATATATTATTCAATTAACCTACTATGTCAAGTAAAATACTGTGATTATACTTGATTTTTTGTACAACTATCTGTTTTTCCTGGAATTAATAACTGTCTTATTTTTTTTTATTCGCTTCGTTTCCTTTGACCAGCTGACTACATTTCCCACACTCTCCAACAGCTCTGTAAAATGTCTCTTTCAAAGACAGTGTTCCACATTGGAGAAATGTCAGGTTATTCTGTTTCACCTTTTTTGTATTGGATCCTGTTTTGTGAATTCCATCCTTCTTCCTGGGTTTTTTTCCTATTTTAGTGGAGCATATATCTTCTGGTAACATCCACCAATCCTCATGCCACTGCCTCTCTGGACATTGTGGTTGTCTAAGACACATTCTCTAGTAGCTTTCTCAGGAAGAACTCACAGGGCCAATGCCTCTTAAATTATGGTCATGACAACAGGTCTCCACTCTTGCATTTGAAGATAAGTTTAGCTGTATTAAACACTCCTTAGCTTACATTTTCTTTCCTTGAGTATCTTAATTATCTTATTCCATTGTTTTCTGGCATAATACATTGCTCTTGAAGAGTCTGATGAAAACCGATTTCCTCTCCCTAACACATGAATTATCTTTTAGCCTAGATACCCCAAGGATATTTGTCTTTCATTCTTTCAAATTCAATATGCTTCTTAGACTATGTATCAATGATGGTCTTTTTTGGGGTCAGTTTTCCCAAGTATTTTCCCTTTTAATCTAAGGCTGGAAATCATCTTTTACTTCAAGGAAGTTTTCTTGAGTTACAGATTTTAGTTTTTGTTTACTTTTTTGTTTACTTGGTTTCCTTCTTTGAGAATTCCTATCATATGTGTATTAGGCCTTCTTTACTTATCCTTTTATCTGTCACTTGCTCTCAAATCCTCTCTCTTCATTTCTGATTGATCTTCAAATTTTTTTTCCCTTTCCCTATTCTGTTTCTCTAGAACAGTATCCATTGTGTTTGTTTTTTGTTTGTTTTTTGTTTTCCTCCTAATTTTGTCACTTCTGAAATTTTTCTTTTATTTTTACTTTTGTACTTTTGAAAGTTATGCTATTTCCCATGTAATGTTCCTTTTCTGCAATTATATCACTCCTGAGTTTTTCTTATTCTGATTTCTGTTGTGCTTTAATAATTTCTATCAATTTTCTTTATCTTGTTTTGAAACGTTGGCTTCTATTTGTCATCCGCTCTGTGGGTATATTTTTCTAGAATGTTTCACTGAATGAGGCCATTATTCTACTTCTTAGTCTCCTTCTTTGAATAACTTTGTATTATTTCACTCACAGCCTTTTTCTGGTGCTCATTTTTCAGACTGATGAATTTTACTGAACTTTTAGGAAGCAGGGATGAGTTGGTAGCTTTTGTAGTTTCATGTAGAGTTCCTTCTTCTGTTGTTTTAGAAGAAATAAATGCACCGCCTTGAGCTTTCTGGGATGTGCCTCCTCTGCTCCCCTCTCCCATTTTCATCAAAATTTCTCATTCCTTTGCCATCATTCTTTCTATTCTCAATTTGGATTCTACTCTTATTAGTTTCTCCTCAGCGTAAAACTTCGCCTCTGTATGGAGCTTTGGGTTTTTAGTTTCTAGAGCTGGTAGAACCCAGACTATGCTAGATGCTCTCCTGTAAACTGCAGTTCAGCTCAAGTCACAGATGGAGCTCAGACTCCGCTATGGAAAGTCTAAACGTGTCTTTTCACCACCCTTCCCTGTGGGTCAGACAGGCATGGTGCTGGTTCCCCTCTGTATCCTGTTCCACTCCCAGGGTTTCTTAGCTCTATGTCACTTTTAGAGGTGACATCTGAAAGGGAAAGTAACAAAAGCATAATTTATGAATCTCCACACAAAACCTGACAAAGCAACTCTTAACCTTGAGTTTTTAGGTTCTTAACAGTACTATTTCAAAAATTCAGCAACTCATTGGATCCACAGGTTTGGGTTTCTATACTAGTTGTTCTATCTGAGTACCTGAGTGTAAGGGGAGTTTGTGATCTTGGGCTTCTATAATCCACTATTTCACCATTTGTGAATAGAATAAAGAACAATAGCCACAGAGTTATTGAAATGATAAGATGAGGTGATGTGGAAGTTGAAGCAGATGAAACTGTGATTTAACCTGCTATGTAAAAAATTATTTATAAACTGTAAAATAATACAGCATTGCTAGCTATTTCAAAATGGATTTATGAAATATGTGAAAACCTATGGTTTTGTTTAACTGCATTGTTTTCACCTTATATGCTATGTATTTCTGTCTTTTCCCACCAAAATAAAGCTTCATAAGAGCAAAGATTTTTATCAAATTTTGTTCACTACCTAGTACAGTGCCTGACACACCTTAGGCACTCAATAAATACTTAAAGGGCTGGTATCCAAGATCTATAAAGAACTTCTCCAACTCAACAGCCAAAAAACAAATAATCCAGTCAATAAATGGGCAGAAGACATGAACAGACACTTCTCCAAAGAAGACATACAAATGGCTAACATACACATGAAAAAATGCTCCACATCACTGGCCATCAGGGAAATACAAATCAAAACCACAATGAGATACCACCTTACACCAGTTAGAATGGCAAAAATTAACAAAACAGGAAACAAGTGTTGGCGAGGATGTGGAGAAAGGGGAACCCTCTTACACTGTTGGTGGGAATGCAAGCTGGTATAGCCACTCTGGAAAATGGTATGGAGGTTCCTCAAGACATTAAAAATAGAGCTACCCTACGACCCAGCAATTGCACTACTAGGTATTTATCCCAAAGATACAGATGTAGTGAAAAGAAGGGCCACATGCACCCCAATGTTCATAGCAGCAATGTCCACAATAACCAAACTGTGGAAGGAGCCGAGATGCCCTTCAACACATGAATGGATAAAGAAGATGTGGTTCATATTTACTATGGAATATTACTCAGCCATCAGAAAGGATAATACCCACCATTTGCATCAATGTGGATGGAACTGGAGGGGATTAGGCTAAGTGAAATAAGTCAAGGAGAAAAAGACAATTTGTCATATGGTTTCATTCATATATGGAACATAAGGAATAGTGTGGAGGACTATAGGGGAAGGGAGGGAAAACTGAATGGGAAGAAATCAGAGAGGGAGACAAACCATGAGATACTCTGGACTTTGGGAACCAAACTGAGGGTTACAGAAGGGAGGGGGTGGGGAGATGGAGTAACCAGGTAATGGGTATTAAGGAGGGCTCGTGTGGTGATGAGCACTGGGTGTTATATGCAACTAATGAATCGCTGAACATGACATCAAAAACTAATGATGTGCTATATGCTGACTAATTGAACATAATAAAAAAGAAATAATAAATACTTGATGAACAAACTAATCATTTGTGCTAACTTTGCCTTAAAGCATATTATGCAAAAGATAAAACAAATGGGCAAAAATTACATTATTCTTCAGCTGTTGTTGAATTAGGACGGTGTAACATGCTCTGCCAACACATTTCCTTCACCATTTTAGTTTGCTTTGCATTCTTGCCTAAAAATACACACACACACACACACACACACACACACACGCACACACACGCACACCCCCCGTGCTGTAGCACAGGGACTCCACAACACCCAGAGTGCCAGAAACATCTACTGCTGAAAACGTGGCAGCATTGGCTTCATGCCTCCACCCTCTGGTCCAAGATATAAAAAATTTGAAACAATGTGGAGAATAGCTGGGCAGAGAACAAGGAACAGCATTGTCCTTCTCCCGCTGTTGTTTAGAGAAGTCTGGCAGTCTGTTTTTAAGTAAATAGACTTGCTCTAATGGAGCAATCTGTCAAAATAAGCTGGGCTGCTTAGAGGGGACAAGAAGGTGCAGCGCCGCTTCTCTCTCCCCTGGGAGTTATTTATTTGCAGAGGATGACAAATGAGAGCGAGGCGGAAGCCTGCGGTAATGACACTCAAAGCAAGAAATATAATAGCGTGTGGCTTAGGATGGGCTCATCCTAACTCAAAGTATACATGGGTTTTGTGTGTTTAAATAGCCAGCCTTTCCATTTGCATCTCAAATGCTCCAGAGAAGGAGCAGACAAATGCAGAACCATCACCAGGTGGCTTCTAGTTAGTGGGTTTTGCAAGAACGGGGTTGGGGGGGGCACAATGAGCAGATTAATGAGGAGAAGCTTAGTCTCTGCAGGTTGTCTCCCTCTTTACTAATGGAGGGGAGACAAAACCATCAATTTGCTTCATCACCACACAGTACTTGACAGATGAGTAACATATTTA